GAGGTTTAGATTGGAGATTAGGAAAAATTTCACTGAGGGGTGGTCAGGCATTGGACCAGGCTGCCCAGGGAGGTGGTGGAGTCGCCATCTCTGGAAGTGTTCAAGAAACGTGTGGATGTGGCGCTTCAGGACATGGTTTAGGGGACATGGTGGTGCTGGATTAATGGTTGGACTTGATGATCTTGAAGGTCCTTTCCAACCTAGTGTTTCTGTGATTCTGTGATGATTCAAACGCCTTATAAAATTCTGTGATGTAAACACAGCCATGCTGACCAACCGAACACAGAGCTCATAAAAATAGCTACTTCATTTAGCATTTTACTATAAAGCTGTATTGATTAACATAAATTATTCTTCATTCTTTTTTGAATGTTGCCTGTTTCAGCTTTACATTTATTTTGTACAGGCTGGGTGGTCTGCAAATACTTTTTTGTATCTTCATACCTGTTAGCTTTATTCCAGTTTTCTGAGCTTTCCCAGTATCCAAGAAAATATTAAAAATAAATGTTAGCAACTATGCAACTGCATTGCAAATGACTTAGGCTTACGCATTATAAAATTGGACACTAGTAGGGGGTGTTTGGAATAGAAAGTGTCTCTGTATCAGTCCAAAATGCAAACTTATCCAACTGCTGTCCAAATACGGCACAAATTGTGTACTGCAGGCGTCAGGCTTTCCTGCTTTCTTATGGATGACTATTTCTCCTTATTGAATAATGTTGTCTAAGCTTCATCTGTTCCTAATTATATGCAAATAGCCTTCTTTTGTCTTCTTACTGCTCATCAGGCCTGTTGTCCTCATTACTGCTTCAGTGCTATTCACTGCAAGACCTCACAGAGGCCAAGCAATTAATAGGGTTCAAAGCTGCACTTAGTTTGGAAACTGTTGTTGTCACAGTTGCTAATACTCCACCGTCATTAGGAAATAATTTCTAGAGTCACCAGGGAGGGTTGGACCACCATGGCTATGAAAACAGAGTAGACTGAGGAATACTGAAGACTTTAAGGGTCACCTTAGTCCTTCTGGTTCCTGGTCGCTGGCCACAGTGCCAAGATACTGTGGTCCAGATCTTCAGGACTGCGTGGCAGAACTTAAACTATCAGATTTGCATTGAAGACAGTGGAACAGCATAAAGGATCCTTACGAGCCGTGTCCCCCTTTGCAAGGCCTGCTTCCTTGGAAGTGCTGGAGGCCTGGGAGAGTGCCGGGTGTTTGGTGCTGATGAGTCTGCAGTGCTGCAACCCAGGAAGATGGATATGTCACTTAACGCTGGAGCCTCTTGGTTTGGGTGCAGCCCAAGAGCAGGAAGGGAGAAAGTTGCTACCAGCTCTTGGGAGGGTAAAACAAACCTCCCAAATACAGAGGTGTGAAGTCAGCCTGAAAGCAGTTTGTGAACCGCTTAGTCTGAAAGTGGACTATGTGGAGCTGTAGCTTAGAGGTGAGAGAGGATGTCCTTGTTTTAGTGCGACGTTAGCTTGGCAGCGTAGTGATTGCAGTTTAAATTCCAGCATCATAAGCTAAACTGGTGGGGTCACTGCAGCAGGGACAACCTGATGATGAGCCACCAGGAGAGGTTGATGGATGCAGGCTTACATGATGGTTTTCTTAAAACTTAGATCCTCAGTTGTCTTTGTGATGTGATCACAGCAGAAGAGCTGCCTGTATGTCAGAGGAATATCTTCTTGAGCTTGTATCTTTTTTTTTTTTTTTTAGAAATTAGCATAGGCTGCAGATGCTGAAGGCTTTCTAAAAGAGACTGGAGCCCAGGTGTGGTTTTTCTTTCCCCTCGGGATACATGTTCAAGGAGAATTGGTCTGTGAGGCTTTAGATTAGTACAGGGTTTGTTTGATTGATTTTTATATGGGCCTTTTGAAGAGCCTGCCAAAATTTGACATAAATTTACATGCACAAGCCACATTAAAGAGCTATTTCGGAATCACTTTTTGCACAAATATTCTCATTGCACTCTACGAGTAGATGAAGCTATACTGGAACGAGCCATTCATTCTGGGTTAGGAGTGTTCATACAGGGAGGTGTTAGAAATAGAAAATCTTCATGAACAGGAAATCCCTGAACTTGATTTAGGTTTCATTAAATTTTCCTCCTGTCTGATTGATCTGTTCTCTTCTTCGTAGGTGCATTGTAACAACATGTTTTCCAAGGGGGTGAAAATCTTCCAGAAGGTGGAGTGTCTGTTCAAACCACGCTTGATTGCAGACTGGGAGTCTGAACCTGTTGGAGTGGCAACTGTCTTAGATGACAAAAACCCCAGCGCTAGGTTTGTGACTGTCCCCCTCAATCAGCGCGTAGGTAAAGCCATACTTTGCCGCTTCTACTTCGCTGATACCTGGATGATGATGAGTGAGATTTCCTTCCAGTCAGGTGAGTGTTCCTCCAGTCAAGCAAATCTGGCAAAGCACAGAGAGCAAAGAAATGGTGTGGAGGTGCAGGACATGTGGGGTTAACATGAGTGTAGGGCACTGTGGGGCTACACGATAGGAAGGAGGAGGTAGTAAAGCACTGAGAGGGTTGGAAGGGGTTGCAGGGGCAGAAAGGTCCAGTCTGTAGTGGATTCTTTTCAGGCTGATACTGATGCACATGTGCAGAAGCACAACTAGGGCAATCAAAAATTGTACTACAGAGCATTTCTTCTTTTTGAGACAGCTGCCTGCTGCTTATGGCGTTGCTTTTGACTTCTCTTTACCAAGTATTTTGCTATGAATAATTTAATATATCTTCAGATGATGGTCAAGTTAGCAGATTATGAAAAATACAAGGCTGACTTTTTTTTTTCTCAAGTCTTAACTGTGACACAGAAATCAGTGCCACAACGTGCTTTAAAAGGCTGTAGAAGGGAATGGACAAGAGTCTTGGAGAAAACCACCAGCGCTGACAGTGAAATGATCTGGCTGTAGCTTCCTACTTCAAGGTCCCTAATCTGCTATAGTGAGAGGATGTTCCTGGGGAAGGAGCACTCTGATTGCAGCTTGTTGTTTATCCTGCTGATAGCAGCCCCTCCTGGCTACCCTCTGTCACACATGGGACTAGGCAGACTCTTAGTCTAGCCTGGGATGGCAATTCTTATAATCATGCTAAACTGGGGGAGAAAATAAAACAAAAACCAAACCCCAAATCTCTAGCTCCATTCCCTGTGTCTGGCCAAGCGCAGGGAAGCAGCCTGCACACACTGGTGGTTTGCTATGGTCAGGATGTACATGGCTACTCAACACAGGCTCGTTCCTGCGGGTGTGCTGGGAAGTGCTGAGTAAGCAGGTATCTCTGCTAACGCTGGTTGTGACCTGCTGCATGGGTCTCAGCCCAGTCCTGCTTGGGAAGGCAGGAGTGGTGGCTGGGATTGCACTGACCACTGGCAGGAGGGTTGTTGGGCTGACACATTCCCTTCCCTTCCACAGACATGGAGAGCGTGAATCCTAATTTTGTTACGGTAGCCACAAGCACAACGGATCTCCTGGAAACAGAGTGCAATGTTACTGAGGGGACCTGGGGTAAGGACTTCTGTCACTTAGCCATGCCAAGGGCTCAAGTGTTGGGGGATTTCACAGTAATACCCTAGTTAATGTGGTCTCTCTCTCCATTTCTGGAGATCCAGGCATAGCCTGGTTATTGCCCTCAACGCACAGGGCTGCATCTTACAGTCCTCCGAGCCTCAGCTATTTCTTCTTCCTTCAGCTCGCTGAGGCTGCCTCAGAGCAAGTGGGCTGAAGGCGTATGTGCAACCAGTGAAACTCTGAAAACTGTTTGTTCTAACATGGATCCATTGCAGGAATCTGTTCCAATGCTAAGAACAGTCTTTGACTGCAGAAGTCCTCTGCGCAATTCTTACCTGCGAGCCTCCAAAATGAGAATTTCTGATAAGAGCAAAATGCGAACATGTGAATTAATGTTAATGCTCAGGAAGCTGCCTAAGATCTTTTCTGTTCCAGACCGTAGGAAGGGACATGTAGGGAGTTAGCCAGCACAGATAACTTGTGCTTTGTTAACTCCAGATTCTTCTTCATTCCTGTATGATTGCAGAAACCACATCTTCTGTAACCAGCACCTGGATAGGAGAGAAAGCAGATGACTCCAATACCTCCATCCTTGTGGGCTGCCTTGTGGCTATTATTCTTCTGCTCCTGATGATTATAATCATTATTCTTTGGAAGCAATATGTTCAAAAAAGGTTGGAAAAGGTAATACGATGGGGCTATTTTGCAGACCCAAGTTCAATACTAAGCATTAATCCTAATGAGCTCAGAATTATGTGGAAAGCACAGGGTTTCTCCAGCTCCACAGAGTAGCTAAAACTCTCCTCACAGCAGGGGAGGATGCCAAGATTTACTGGAAATTGCTGCAGTTGCAGCCAATACATTACTTAACAACTGAGCACATCACCTCAGCATTTTTTTTCCTTGTCTTTTGCAGGCCCCACGTCGAATCCTGGAGGAGGATGCCACAGTTCGCCTCTCCTTCTACAGCTACACCATTGCCAACAACCAGACCCAGATTCACCAGTCAAATCCCACCTATGAACGTGCTTTCCCGCTGGATTTGGAGTATCACCAGCCAGCTACACTGCTTCAAAAGCTTCCGGAGCTCTCCCAGAGTGCAGAGGATTCAGGTAATGTAATTATTAGTCTTTGGAAGTTATATATTTATGCTTTTATTATTCCTCTCAGATTTTAAAATGTGCCACATCTCAGTGTCTAAGTCATCTTCTTTGACTCCCATGGAATACAATACTAACTCAGGAACCTAAGCCAATATTCTGGAGCTCTGAAACTTTTTAGCGTCTAACTTTGGCAGATGGAGTACCAGCCTGACTAGAGAGTGGTGGCCTTTTATTGTTCTCTTTGAAGATGGTGTTAATACACTAGCCAGGCCATCTTTTAGGAACTGGTTTTGGCAATCGCACATTGTTTGTTTCATCAGCCCCTTGGCAGTGGAGTTGCTACCTGCAGCACTCCTGGGATGTCCAGACTGGCTGGTGGAGAAGACCTCTAGCACCTTTTCCTGCAGCAAGGACTCTCTGAAATTCCCTTAGAAAAAGAAGAGGGAAATGCAGGAGAAAATTGTCAGTGGTGCCCTGGCTTCCAGCCCCTGGGGAGCTTTTGGACGCATGCAGAAGCGAACATTTCCAACAATGTTTTGTGGTTGGTGATGGCAGTGCTGATTAGTGAATGGAAGGGCAATGCTGCATTCCTCAAGCACCATCAAGTTGCAAAGATCCAGCACTGTACTAAACAGGGAGACTGATTTGGATTCAGTCCGGATGTGAATTTGAAGCAGAACAGAAGTTCTGTGTAATAATGACCATACAGGGAGTTAATGATACAGTTACGCCATGATATTTATGTGAATAAGCTGTAAGAGGTAGTGTAGCATGTTAACAAGAGGACATGGGAAACGGAGAGCCCAGTCAGTTCTTGTTACAGAAGCGAATCCAGAGCAAGTTTGACGTTGCAAACAACAGCCCTGTGTCAGGTAAGGGGAACAGATCATGTTTAGGATGAATCTGAGACAGGAAATCACTTTAGACTCATGCCCCCATGTCTGGGCAAGAATTTTAGTGCTCATAACTGCATAGAGAGGCAGCTGTTTAACACAAAGTCACTGGCACCTCTCGGGTATTTTGGTGTCTGCAGAAGTGTGGTTTGCTCTAGTTTAATCCCTAATTAAAACAAGGGAGACTCTTCCATCTGTGTATACCTTGGTACAAGGTGGTAGGTGTGCAGCTAGGCTGAATTCTGAGAGGCCTTGCAGGATCAAGAGGAGTGGAAGCCAGGCCATACTGGTTTTAAGAGAGTGAATGTGTCTGACTCCACCTGTCTTTGGTTCCCCCTTAGTGTGCAGCGGGGACTATGCTGAGCCTGACCTGACCAAGTCCACTCCTCACCAAGGCTTTCAGAACAATGTTCCTCACTACGCTGAAACAGATATCGTCCACCTGCAAGGTGTGACCGGCAACAACATGTATGCAGTCCCAGCCCTCACTGTGGATTCACTTACCAAGAAGGACATCTCGGTGGGTGAATTCCCACGGCAGCAGCTACGACTGAAGGAGAAGCTGGGAGAAGGACAGTTTGGAGAGGTACAGCCATTCTCTTCCGTACTTCTTCCAACAGGAGGAAGGAGATCCATCCAAGGAGATGCCTGGCACAGTGAAACTTCTCAGCTGCCTCTCTAGCACTGCTTCATATTTGGGTCCTGAGAGACCTGGGTGCCAGTATTTTATTTAATACTGGTCTCTGCTGTTGAGGAAAGCTGATGATAGGCTTCAGAGCTCTGTTCTGCACCTGTGAGGTTACAGCTTGGTACCACATGAGTCTTTCTCAACAGATGAGCTTTGTGAACTTTTTTTGTTTGCTGTCTGCATCCCATTTATGACCCTATACAAAAGACCTGGGGATGTGAGTTCAGACTTCCACAGTCTTCCATGGACATCTCAAACATGTGATGTCTGTCACCCACCTTTAGGTATGTGAGTTTGAAAACTCTAGCAGTGACTCCAGCCAAGACAGATTGATCCTAGCTGTAAAAACTGCTTTCATGTTAACAGGTGGAGGTTCTGGTGGAGCTCTGCATGCTGACCCAAGCAAAGACAGGCATTTCCCAAGCTGTGTGGTGCCCTCACATATTCTCTAGCATTGCTGCTTGCTCAAGCCCCAGTTTGTGTTAGAAGCCTCAGGCAGCATGATACATGCATCTGTCATCTGCCAAGCTTTCTCTTTACTCCTTGAGCTCCTTTCAAGCTGTGAATGTTTCCACCTCACCTTTTCTTCTCTCCCTGCTTTATTTCCACACTACCCCTAGTTCCCTACTGAGCAGGTCTTCCCCTCTCCTGCTCCCATTCTTCCACTGTCCTTTTTTCTTTCCGGCTTTTGGTCACTCACAACCTTAAATACTACCTGTCTACTACACTTTGGCAAAGCACTGCCCTTTATTGATTGCGTCCTCCTCTGATGCACCCATCTTTATAGCTCCTCCCTTCTGACAGCACACCTTCCCTACCCCAGCCCTTTCCCCGTCTCACTCACTTCTTTCTAGATCACTCCGTGTATAGGGAAGGTGCTGACATCCTCAGCCTCTTCACCTGGCTGTCAGTGTAGCCTCTTCTGCTGTTGCCTGGATCCTGCCCTGTCTTGGGCTGTGCTCCAAAAGTGGAACAAGAGAGGGTTTTTTTCTCATTGTTTTGCTTCTGGTTTCTCCTTACCTCTTGTTCCTGCCCTCGTAACAACTGTCAAAGCTTTCTCCTCCTTTGTGTTGTCAAACAGCAGCAGCCAGAGTCTCCCATCTCCATTTTCTTTGGAAATTGATTCAGAGCCTGTTCCTTCCTTCACACAGGCTCTTCCCCTCACTTTTGCAAATGTGTTGCATCGCATTCTCCCGTCTTTCCTTCTCACCTCCTTAGTCTTTACCAAACTGGTCATTATCATATGCTCTGCTCCGCTGCACCAGCGTAGTGTGCACTTTTGCTTCTAGGAATATGGCTCATTGCTTTTTTCACCTCTCCACTCAGACTTCTTCCCTTTCAATCTTTTTTTCCTTGCGCCTAACCATCCATTCCCTGGATTCAGTAACACATTACCTGCATTTGTAATACATGTGCTTAGTACTGTGGCTCTCTTTTCTATTCCTAGTCTTGTGACTGTACTTTCACCACAGCAGATTTCATTCTCTGTGTAACTGCAGCAGCATCTTTGTACTCTCGTTTCTGTTCTGTGGGTTTTTCCCATTTTCTGTGCTGTTGTCTTTTTCTCCTCACCATACTTGTGACATAAGTTCTTGTTGCTTTCTTTTTAGAAAATCCATTAAGCTCCCATTATGTTCCCCTCACTGCTGCAAGTCTTTAATGGACAAATCCAGTCTGCTCCCCTCCTCCAGTCCTTTTTCCTGTCCTACACACTCGGGTCTGTCTCCTTTCCTCACCCCAGCATCTCTTGCTCACTTCTCCATTTGAATATGTGTTCTGGTGACTTCTTAAGCAAGTGTCTTGTCACCCCTTGTATACAACCCTGGCAGTAATTTTATGTGTGTCTGTCTTTATCTGAGGAAACATGGAATTCTGTATCAGGGCATTCGTCTCTGGGTATATTCAGAGGTGAAGTGTTCACATCATGGACATACACGCACGCATTTTTATATATTTTTTTTTTTTTCCCCTGGAATTAGGCGACTTTGTAATTCCTGGGTGCTCCTCAGTTAATTTTGGGCAGTGACTCAAGCCAGGCTGCAGGACAGTTCTGGACTTGTATGGCTGGTGTGATGGGCTGCCCATGCCAAACCTGCTGCAGCTATGCTGTTTGCATATGCAGAGTAAAACCGACAACTCCAGGAATAGTGGCCTTCCTGAGCATCTCCAGTACTTGCTGGGTGAATTGCATTGCCCCAGTAGTGTACTGCACCAGTCTGCACGCATGCAGTAAGTTCAGTGTGCTGGGGACACGTCAGGCTGCAATCCATGTGTGTTCCTCTGTCATGGGCTATGTAGTGTATGTACATGTTTTCTCCAGGTTCTTGGGCCAACCTGTGGGCTATTTCTGGTCAAAACAGTGTCACCTTCATTAGATCATTCACCTGGTCATTCTGCCAAGCGGTGACCAAACTGGTGACCCCAATGTGACATGTTCCTCTGGTTTTCTGCCTGTGCATGCTCTCATAGTTGCCTCTGCCTTCTGCCCCGCAGGTGCACCTTTGTGAAGCCGATGGCCTGCTGGAGTTCCTGGGAGTCTCGCCTACAGAATTCACTCACCAGCCGGTTCTTGTAGCGGTGAAAATGCTGAGATCAGATGTCAACAAAACAGCCAGGTAAGCGCATCCACGATGGCGACCATCTGAGAAGGAAAGTAAATACTCTCCAAGCAACAGTTTCACACAGGTTAACTCTGGTGACTTCTGTAAGAGAGTGTCACGTGTCTCTGATGTGTGTCCTGTGTGTTCATGTAAGGAACAGGACACAAGCAGGGAGCAGGAGACAGGAATAGATGTAATGTCAAACTGAAATGCTGTATTAATCCATTTTGGGGAAGGGGTCAATGTTGAACACACGCACAGAACCAGCTTTCAGACTTACTGTCTGCAGAAGTGTAAATGTCTCTGAACTGAGATTTTCTTACATGCTGCTTCTGCTTTCCTTAGACAAAAGAATAGTTTAGGATTCGAACCTGTGTTTTCTGTTTTACAAGAAATGATTTCCTGAAGGAGATCAAGATCATGTCACGGCTGAAGAACCCAAATATCATTCGGCTTCTGGGGGTGTGTGTGCGTGATGACCCACTGTGCATGATAACAGAGTACATGGAAAATGGAGACCTCAATCAATTCCTGTCACAGAGGGAGATCTACAGCAAATTTGCCGTTTCAAACAATATTCCCTGTGTCAGGTAAGAGGAGCTGCCCATCTTTGGGATGAATGAGCAATACAGAGCTACCGGTTTCATCTGCCCTGCCTTCCAGGCAGTGACCTTCCTCCAGCCCGGCCATCGCCTTGGCCCATACTGTGGACACGAGTTGTGCTTCTTTAGCAACTTGTTCTTTAGGCCTCTGGAGGTCTGTGTTCCCGTCAAGTGTCCCTGACTGTGGGCCGTTCTGGTCACAGTGACCATCTTGGATGTATTGTTTACTGATGTGACCATCTGTTTACGTTAGTGGGCTTGCATCAAATATTTCGTTAATATGGGAAGCATTCTTACATTACAGCAAGAATTTTGGGATGAAAATCAAGAATGTCTCTTAGGCTTTTAAGAAGGTTCACATGTTCTCTGGATGCCTAAAAAAATATTACATAAGGGGAGTTGAACGTGGAGCTTCGCTAAGGAAAGGTTTCATCAGCCAACAGGAGGAGAATATTTGGCAAAGAAAACCATTTTCTGTCAGCAGTGGCACTTACCTCCCTCCTCTATGGAAGCATTAAATTTAACATAAAAGCTTCTCTACTGTTGCAGAAATCCTTTCCTCAGAAGAGAGTTGTAATGTAGGACTAATGTATTCTGCTTGATAAATAAACCTGCACTGATCAGAAGTTGCTGCATTGCTTAGCCTTTGGCATGTACCTCCCCAAAGGATTAGATTTATTTACAGTTGGAGAAGGAGGCAGTTAGGCAGAGCCAGTTCTGTTGATGGGCTGGACAGGAAATGGCTGGGTCTTACCATGTCAAAACAACACTGGCGTTTCTGCCAGCAGCTGGCAGTGATCAGTAGTCCTGTCAGGGGGTGTTAAACTGGCATCTTGCAGTCATGACACACCAGGAACTGTAGGATGGGAGAGGATTTGCATCTGAGTAGAAACATACTCCAGCTCTCTCCAGTCTCCTGCCCTTTCTGCACAGCTGAAACAGCTTCCACCTTTTGACTTCTGGCTTTTTTTTCTGGTCAGAGCCTCAAACTGCCCTTTCTTCTTTATCACCTCCTCACCTTTCATCTGACTTCAGCACTGTCACTCACGTTCTTCCTTGGTTTCCATTACTTGGCTCTACCTCTAGTTTTTCTTTCTCTCCAGCTGATCCTTCAGCCTCTCCTTTTGACCCTTCAAGCCAGATGCAGCTTCATGTTAAAGGAAGCCGGTATGACTAGCTCAGATATGTCTTCTGTAGGAGTTGTTTACTGAGAGTGAAATTAATTCCCCTGCCAAAGAGTGCAGCTTGTCTCTGCCAGTGCCTGTGGGCATCTGACTGACAGGACAAGGTCTGACCATCTCACCCATCTCTCAAGCTCAGTATTTGGTGCACCAGATGTGGTGCCCAGCCCTTTCCTGCAGAGTGGTCATGCATTTTTAAGTCCTTACAGCTCTTTGGTATTTGAGGTGCATCTCCCTACTGTCTCCCTCACTACCTAGCAAATCATGAAGATGGGTCTGCTGAGAGGTGTCTCCCGTCCTGCCCTGCAGAGCTTGCTGAGCAGAGGGGCAGGGAGCTGCTGATGGGACCCTGCCAGCGTGCCGGTGGGACGGGAGATGAGGCTTCTTGAATGGGAAGAGCAACAGCCCCAGGCAGGGAGACAACTGGAGCTGAGCATGGGGAAGGGAGAAGGTTGGGTCTGGAGGCTGTGCCTGCCCCTGTGTGAAAAGCCAACAACCAGGTTAACAAGGTACAAGTGGGTGGCACAGTTCCTTCTCTGGGGGCACAACAGGTCCACTCAGATAAAGAGAAACATTTTGCTGACCATGGGACAGGGCTGAGTGTCACCTAGCTGAGTTGTGGTGTTCACCATGCTGAAAGGCTGGGAGGGAAGTGGTGCCCAGACCTTGCTGCCAGTGCTCTGCTGGGGCGAGGGCTGCCTCTGAATCTCGGTGGTGATAGCTTAGCTATCGATTGGAGCAGGTAGATTGGATCTCTTATCATTAGATGTGTTCTGTTATTGTAATTTAGATAACATGGTAGTGCTTTTCTCATTGCCACCACAACACAAAGAGGAGGAGACTAAGACTTGCTTTATCAGAGAAATATTAACTGTGAACAGTTTATTAAGTTTGTTGTGACAAATGCTTGATTGTGTGAAGCATTTGAGTATGCACAGTGGGAAACAAGCCAAGCATCACAGGATAATAATGTGTGAAGAATGCTGGAAGTCAGATGGTCCAAACTTTGTGTGTCAAGCAACTTTAATATTATCTTTGTTTTGCTGATGGGGGAATTAAAATTCTATTAGATGGAAAATACATCTGTTTATATTGTTAGTAATATTAAACATTTTTTTTTTAAAGTAAGCTTTCTTTAATGTTAAGTGACATGCTTATATTAGTGAAAGCATGCAATAGTGGCAGTGTTGAAACACTGAGCTAAGCCGTTTCTTAGATACACGATTCTGAGATTGCTCAACTTAGCGTTTCATGTCTCTCTGCAGAAAGTTGGTGCTTTGCATAAACTCTTTGAAAATCTTGAGATTAATGCTTGATACTAAAAAAATTTAAGGGATGTCAAATTCTAAGGGCCCTGAATTTCAGGGACAGCTTGTCTGTTCTTGCTTAGTCAGCTGAGGAATTTGGCTTAGCCTGGCAGGTGGGGGTGTTAGTGCCCTGAGACTAGACAGTTTAGTTTCACTGTTATGGCAAAAAAATAAAATGACAGGTCACTATTACATCAAATGCAAGGAAGAGTTGAGTGTGGGGAGCTCTATTGATTTTTTTTTTTTTCTTCATTTTGTTTTCTTTTAATGCAGCTACTCTAACCTGCTGTACATGGCCACCCAGATTGCCTCTGGAATGAAGTATTTAGCATCTCTGAATTTTGTGCACAGAGATCTGGCAACTCGCAACTGCCTGGTGGGAAACAACTATACCATCAAGATTGCGGACTTTGGCATGAGCAGGAATCTGTACAGTGGGGATTACTACCGTATCCAGGGAAGAGCTGTACTGCCCATACGTTGGATGGCTTGGGAAAGCATCCTCCTGGTAGGGACTGCACAAAGCCATTCTCTCTCCCTTCCTCTGATTTTTCACTGTGACCCTGAAATAGTAACACGTGTGTAATGGTCCTTATAGCATCAAAATGTATGCTACAGGTGTCCCCCGGTGAGATGTCCATTAGGTTGCGTTGGACATAACTCACATTCTGGAAAGCGAGCGTGTCCTTGCAAATGTGGCACGGATCATCTGGGGCATAATTTCTGTTCTGCGCCTGGCATTCAGGGTCTCTGCTGGAATCATAAGGAAATTGCCTTTCTGTACTTATTTCCCCAGCTGTGAAGCTTGAGAGGGACGGGGACAGAACTTCATGAGTTTCAGTGCCAAGTCTGGTTTTGAGGTTGGGGTTTTGTTTCGTGCTTAAGGGTCCTGCTGTCTCCCCTTAGGAGAGTGTTCAACACCCCAAACACATGCAGTCTGGAGGAAGTTCCTTAATATTCAGCCCCATTTCTTTCTCAGACTAGTCATTGGGATCACCTGGTTATGCTTTCTTACAACATCCCTTCTGAGCACCCAGAAAAATTGTAACTACCTCTCCTATAAAGGCTGATGGGCCTACGCTTTTCTATATTCACCTATTTTTCATGGTTACAGCTGCATTTAAACCGTAAGTCACTCCCATCTTCCTTGTGTGAACATCTTCCAAACATTGACAGACTGCTAGCATTGCCAGATAAGCCTGGGCAGTCTGGATCTTGGATGTTTTCTGCCCAAACAGGCCCTCCAGCCTCTGATTGTTGTCTGTTATTTTCTGAGCAATCTTTAGCTTCCTTTTACTTCTTCAGAAACACATTGTTCCAAACACGGCCAGTTTGGGCACATTTTTCGAAGACAAAAAACAGGGACAGCGAGCAGACTGTCACCGACTTCTTACATGTGCAAAGATCAAAATTATCTTAGCCTTTCTCTAAGAGTCTGGAGTCTGCTTCGGCTCTGCTTTCACCCCGAGGGCTTTGCTTCCTGTTCAAAGGCTTCTCTGTGCTGTACTGCTGTGTTTCGGATGGAGGTAGGCAGCAGCTATCCACCCCCTGCCACAGTCCGTTTTCCTACTGCTGCAGTCAAGTACAGACTTTCTCAGGAGGGACAGTAGCCTCTGGCTTTCTCTGAGACTTGCTCCCTGTTGCAAGAAGGTTTGCCCCAGTGAAAGCTGCCCCTTCTTAGAGCTTTCCCGTGGGTCCCACAGACATGCTGCTCCTGCCCCGCAAAGCAGCAATGTCGTATCTCGGTCCCATTGTGCATTGCTGAGAGCAGGTCACCTGCTCTGCTGTCTCTTTTTGAGAGCATTTTCTCAGGTTTGAATTCTGCATCCTCATGTTCAGCTGCAGAGGGTGTAGACTGAAATGTTTTTTTCCTGAATGTGCGCTGTGAGCAACCTGGACTTACGACATCCTTTCTGTTCACAGGGTAAGTTCACTACAGCCAGTGATGTCTGGGCATTTGGGGTCACTCTGTGGGAGATGTTCATACTGTGTAAAGAGCAACCGTACAGCCTCCTCTCAGATGAGCAAGTCATTGAGAACACAGGAGAATTCTTCCGGAGCCAGGGCAGGCAGGTAAGAAGGCAAGCATGACCTCTCCTTCCTTCACTTGACCTGGTCACATCCAAGTGGCTCTCCACAGAGCCTTTCTGCTGCCCTTATGTCATCTGCAGAAGTCTTTGCTGCTGTTACTCCTCTTTTCAAGCCTGCCCCACCTCTCTTACCCTTCCTCCAGACTCATCGCACTGGCTTTCCTGTCTTGGAGTCCCACTGGAAGAATCTCTTGGCCCTGTCCAGTGCTTCTTCCTTATAAGCCACTTATATTTCAATCTGCCCTTGCTGCACTGTCCTCCTTAGCTTTTCTGGGCTCTGCTACACAATCCTTCTGCTCTTTTTCTTTGTCAGATCTCTCTCCCACTAGTGTTTTCTCAGAAATACAAGGAAGCACTTCCTGAGGTGGGGAAGGAGGAGTTTTTAGGGCTCAGGTGTTAGATACTGCCTGTAATATCTCCATATGTGCTGAGAAGCCTTTGGCCATCTCTAGTTGCTGAAGGGATTTTCTGTGTGATTCTGTCCTCTCTTACTAACTCCCAGGCAGGACTGTGCACCCCACTGCCACTTCCTTCAGTGGATACCAGTGATGATGCTAAATAGAGCAGGACAGTCCAGCCCCTCAGTACTGAGGATCACTGTACCCAAAAAAGTGTAGTGCCAGTTGTTTGCTGTTCTCCCAAAATTCAGCTTTAGCATCAAACAAGTTAAGGGGAATAAAATAATGGGAGGTTTTATTCACCGTCTCCTGAATACTAATGACTTAGTGATGAGCCTAAAAGATGCTTATTGAAATGAGAGGGGGGAAGGAAAAAAAAACCCCACAACTCTGCCAAGATGTGCTTTAGATAAGCTCTAAAAGGTGTTTTTTCTGTCTCTGCTAACAAGCTGTCACGATGCTTAGAAAGCCTCATGGGTTGTCTACGGTGAGTGAAAGTATTTGGATTTTGTTGTGGTAAATTTGGTTTTGGTTTGTGTTTTGCTGTCACTTGGAAGACTGATCTCTGAAGCATTCATATTTCCTGGGGGACAAAGGACTGTTTTGTGACCAGCTCATCAAACAATTTGGCAAAGCATCTGCAGTGCCATTTCAAATAGAGCATCAAAGCTCCATCCAGACTTCACTGCCAGATTCACGCTTGATGGATTTCAAACATTGCATGATGGCCATGTCTTGTAAACCTAGAATGAAACTGTCCTTTTGGTTGTAATTTAGTAGAAGTTCAATCCTTTTTATGAGTAGCCCACTGAAATAGCTGTATTTTTCTTCCTTTCAGATCTATCTCTCCCAGACTCCTCTGTGTCCTAACCCTGTGTTTGACCTGATGCTGAAATGTTGGAGCAGGGATATAAAAGATCGTCCCACTTTTGACATGATTCACCATTTCCTGCTAGAACAAATGGAATCAAACATTTGACTCGAAAAAAGAGACAAACTGTTGAGAACAGAGTGACTTTGGTGTCTCTTTGCCTGCACCTCAAGGGAAGATGGTCAGGCCACCTTGCTGTCCTCCCTTGACTGTTCCATATTTAAGTTGAGATGTCCATGGCAGCTGCTCATTCTATTGGCCATGGTCTGACACACAGGACCAGAGGATCTCATTTGGTTGAAAAATCATCTCCTCTTCTGAATAATTTCCTGGGAATACTGTGAGAGGGGTTTTTTTAGATACCCGTACACCTTTGGGCAAAACAAATGAGTAAAACTTTACAAGGGACTTGGAGCTCTCTCCTGGGTGGAGAAGAAAGCTACCAGTCAGTGAGAGCGCTACCACTCAAGAACAGATTTCTGGAAGTAAAGACTTCAGTCTTCCAGAAGTATTCCATTAAATCAAATGGAAGTCTTGTGCACATTAGCAAGTGTTTCTGTACGCTCTTGCTACAGACAATATGTATAGTGAGTGACTAGAAATGTGTAGAACTAGGGAATGGTTTAACGGACTTGAGAACTGACGGAGCTGGATTTAGCAACCCCTTGGAAGTAATGCTACCAGGGTCTACGGAGGATGCTGATACAAGAGTCCAAGATCATGTTCTTTTTCCTGTGGTTGTTAAGCACTGCTTTTGTTATATATGTGCGTTTCCCCACACTGGATTTTTTTCTAGAAAAAAAAAAAATTTGAAAATGAATGTTAAAGGTCATAGGAAGGTCACTGCGGTAGAAGATCTTCTTTTGACCCACAAATTAAGGCTAGGGTAGGGAGTTTGTATTGAAAAGTAGCTGATACTGTACTACTGTCACTATGTAGATTTATTAACCTAATGAACTTGTAGCCACAATGGACTGATGTGCAATTAATCCTGTATAAGTACCCATTAATATGAGATCTCTAAGTCAATGCTGTTACATGTGCAGAGGGAACTTAGATTTGGTGAAACCGAATGGCTGAGAGCAGAACCCTCTATGTCACTTGTTGTAACTCACGCGAGAGGAAGAGGAGCGGAGCACGGGTCGTCCCCCGGCACACGCCTGCGTGCACGCACTCAGATACGTATGTCTAGCATCAGTGGTTCCTCTTCAGGTCTGCAGCAGGGTCAGTGCTACCAGCCAGGCAGATGCACCTCGGCCCAGGCTCCTTTATTGCCGTGATCAAATCTGGTGTCGGGAGATGGGACTGACATATCCCCTTAGTCTGGGTTTGCGTCTTGTTTTGGATGCTCCCCACATAATGCAAGACAATTTACTCATTGAACTTGGGGTTGTTTCTTGTTTGTTGTGTCACAAACGACTCATTCTCTGGAGCGTTTTAAAGGGCTCTGAAATCCATTTGGAGTGAGTTAGAAAATTCAGCTCGTTTCCACAATAAATCCATTGTGGATTTACCAGGTGCCTGGGGAATACTCTGCTATTCCCTCTCTAATCGTTTAGCAAGATACTTAGGACCAAACCAAACATTTCATAAGCTGGGAGAAGATGAAAGCTCAGCACTTGGCTTTTTTTAAACAGCATCTAGCATAGCATATATTTCCAGTAAAGATTATAAAGATAATTTTTATCTTAGCCACAACATAGTATGAATGGCTGTGCTATGAGCTCTGTAAGAGGGCACTGCTGATAGAGGGAATGTCAAAACAGTTAAAATATGAGGATAATTGTTAAGGTTGAAAGAAGAAAACCTGCTTCTGGATTGGCAGACGCCAGGACGGAACGTGGCATGGCTGGCTGCAGCCCAGGCAGAACAAACACCGTCGTGAGTTTCCCAGTTGCAGCTCACTTGATAGGACCGTGCCCAGGTTGTCCTGCTGCAGACCTGGCGTGGGGTTCCCCTGGCTGCGTGTAGGTGTCCCCATCCGAGCTGGTCCTCTGAGCCCCCGTTACGTGCTAAGGAGCCAGAGGGTCCAAGTCATCTCATCTCCCTACAAGGGCTACACGGGCTCAGGTGACTCTCACTCTCAAATAGTTTGGTTTTTTTCTCCTTTGACTAGAGGGGCCCAGGGTGAGCTGCCATTACACGTGTGCACTGTCTGTCTGAAGCTGGGCGATGGGAGTCAAAGCCAGCATGGTCCCTGCTGCAGCCTGTCGGGCACTGGTGGCTGGCAAACTGCACATCGATGGTATTTCTGGCGTATCTCTATCCTGTCCCAGAAAACGTACCCAAGTAATACACAGCCATGTGCGTGATCTCCTGTACTTCGGAGTTTAGAGATAGCAGAGCGCTGTAACGTCACCTGGATGGGCTTTGTACTTCTGTTATGTCAGGATGTGCTGTTCCTCCATTGACATGTTGACATACGAAGTTTCTCTCATATCAATAAATTCTAATGATAACCTTGACAAAAGTGAATTTCTGCTATTTTACCCAGGTGTCTGCGCTGAGGACTGATATTTTGGTCTGATTATTCCATACCTCTTTGGTAAGTGTGTGACCCCCAGGTTTGGAAAGAGCAGCCACTAGCTATGGCTATTGAAAGGAGTGAGCTTTAAAGGCAGTTTATGAAAATGCTGGGAAGATGCTGGCCTGAGCCTCCTCGGGAGCTGAGGAGGCTGGTGGGACCTGGAGCAGCCTGGGATTGTTGTTCTGTGCTGTGAATACGGTGCTGCATTTCAGTAAGCAATTTTTTTTTTTTCATGTTCATATTGAACTCAGAGGAAGATCTGGGCTGGGAGGGACCTTTGTAGGTCTCTAATCCGATTGTCCACTAAAAGCTGAGCTAACTTCAAAGCTGCATTGGGTCTGCTGTGGGTGTTGCCTAGCTGAGCTTTGAAGATCTCCAAGAATGGAGATGCCACCATGTGCTAGGGCTGTGCCTTTCCTGTGGGGGAGAATTTTCTCCCTGCATCCCATGGGCCTTCCCCTTGTTGCATCTGTGCCTGTTACCTCTTCTCTTTCACTGCGCACCTCTGAGAAGAGCCACCATACACCTCGCAGACGCATCCACCCTGCAGCCCTGGGGCTGCTGGAGAGATCTGCTCCTGATCGGAGCTCAGATATTTGGGCAAACTCAAATATATTTATAAAGGCTGGAAGTTCCACATCTCCCAAAGTGTTTAGGCACCAAGGGCAAGAGTCAAAGAAGCATTTTTATGTCCTCAGACAAAATTTTAGGTGGAGTATAGACACCTAAACAGATGAGAAAAACCCTTGCATACTCTATGATTTCTGAGTAGTATCTTGAAGTATCTGCTAGCCATGTGGCTGAGCTCCTCAACGCCAAAGAGGGACTTTGGTGGTGAAGCAGGCTTGCTGCTGGTATTGTAGTTGATGGAAGCAGTGCTGCTGCTAACAGGCACAGTGGTCTCTTGACTCAAGGACGTCCTGGCCACAGTGGCTGTTCAGTAAGCAGGAGACCCATGTCCTGTGTTCACCTTCAGCTGGAGGGGGGTGAGACCCACGGCACACAAGAGAACGTGACCATGCGATGTTCGGAACGGGGACAGCCTTTATCCTGCGTGAAGCGAAGGGTTGCATCCTCAAACAGCCAGACCGGCAGGGCAACAAGGAGCAGGGAGAGGAGGGTTGAGCCTTCCACCGCAGTGCGGCGAGTCCCTGAACCTCTGCCTTGGGGTGTCCTCAACAAAGGTGTGCAAAGGTGGCCGTGTGTGCAGGCAGCGCTGGCCTGCCTGTGCCTGGGCTGCACCGGTGACCGGGACATGCACAGCCAGTCTCTCAGAGTTGTGCGTGTTGGACGTGAACGCGGTGTGAGCGCGTATTTGCGCTGGGGCTGCTCACGGGGAGCATCTGGGGCTACTGTCCTGAGGGCCGTGTCAGGAAACCTGACAAACGCTGTAAAATCTCGGTGCTCATCCAAAATTTCCAGGTGAGGGGGAAAAAAGATGCATCCAGAAAAACCTGACAAGCTGCGTGCTGCAGCTGGACGCGCTGTCGGGTACTGACATCACTCCCGGCAGCATCACAGAGGTTTCCTGGGCGACTGCATCATGCTGCATCTCCTTCCTCCCACGCCTGCCACATTGCCATGGCAGCCCCAAAGGAAAATAGCCTCTTCCCTCCCAATCCCTATCATATCCCTGGGTAAGTTCTGAAGTTCATCCAAAATGCCTGTTGATTTCCAATGCAAATAGCTCCAGTTGGGAACCCGTAGTATTTACGATTCATGGTATTGTGTTCGTTTGGTTTTTTTTTAAAGACACTATTAAATATTCCATGTAACAATGCTCCGAAGGAGACAGGTCTCCAGGATAAGAAACACCACCTTATAGCAGGGTATAATTAAAGACCATGCCATAGCACACTGAGGGTAAAGTCAAAATTGTTCTCCTCGCCACCCCCCCAACCCCCCCCACCCCACTTTTTTTTTAATTTGTTTTAAGCTGCCAAATCCTACCGGGGCTGCTGTGCAGGGTTTGGCTTCCAGACTGTCCTAACTTTTGCATCAAGGATGTTTGAAGAACTCCTTTGAATACATATTTGCATAGACGTGATAATGCTGTTGTCAGATGGGTTGGAGCACAGTCCTGCTGCCAGGTCCGAGCTCTTTGAAGAAGGCGGTGACTGTGGATGCTGGTGATCCGCGTGATACGTAGTTAGATTTTTTCCAAAACTTTTTGCAACATCCTCCTCTAAAGGCTTGGAAAGAAGCAGCCAAGCTGTCATGGGTAAGAGGTAATGAGTTATTGGTTAAAAGGTAAGACACGAACGGCAGAAGTAAATGGATGGGCTTTGTGGTGAAGCAGGGAGGCGCGTGGGGTCCCCGGTGACCCGTGCTGGGGGACGTGGTCCGTGACGTGGAAAGGGCTGGGTGGCCACCGAGGGAGAACAAGCTTCTGTTGGTACCAATTCACTCGGATTAGTCCAGCCTGAGGCTGACGCCGAAGGGCGTCGGGATGACCTGCCAGGGCGGGGGGGCTGGTGACAGCCCCGGCCGCAAACCCCGGGCCGCGGGTGCAGCACAGGTACGGGCAGGAGGCAGGCAGAGCCCAAGCCGCAGATGAAGGGTGGAGCGTGTTTCCTTCCTTAACAATGCTCCTGTGGTGACGATCAGATCAGTCCTTCCCATTACGGCAATGTGCAGGACTTTTCCATTGCTGAACTCCGTATTTTCCAAACTTGGGGGTTTTTAACACGTTTTTGCCTTGCTGCAGCTGTCTGAACGATGCGATGTGTCACTCCGCACGTGCTGTCGCCCTGGCAAAGCTGTGCGCTGACAGCAGCGTGGGAAAGACGATTAACAGCTAGGAGGGAGCTGTGGCTGGGCTTGCACCTCCAAAAGCCTCAAAACCTTCCCTTGCTGCTGCCTGCAGACAGCCCCCCCAGAAGCAGCTTTGAGCCCTAAGAGGGACAGAGCAGCCAGGGCTGCTCCTCTCCGGGCTGCGGCTTCAGTCACTGAAGGCATGAGGAGGAGGAACCAAATTCTGCCACCGCTTTCAGCAGTGACGTGCAGGCTTGTAGCATCACCCCGAGCCCTGGAGGAAGCCCCCGGGGGTGGTGAGGGTGCTGCTTTGCATCTGATTTGGGTGGCTGAGTGCAAGGAGGAGCTGCCTGAAGGGCAGTGCTGGAGCCTGGGCTCCGCTGCCGGCAGACAGTGCACCCTGCGCTGGGGTGCTGGCAGGAGGAGGAGGAAGATGCCACATCGCAGCTTCTCACCGGTTGTCCCACATGCTGTGCCAGTGGATCTGCAAACGCAAGGAGGGCATCAAAATTAGTTGTTGTCACTCAGGTCGGGCAATGGTCACAGCCAGGGCTTTGCAAGTACTACCACAGTGCTCCAGAGCATTGGGAAGCAAAACCCAACTTGTGGGACAGTTTGGGAAGGACTTGGTGCACAGAGAAGGGGTAAATCCATGAATCCTGGGCGCTGGGTGCAGCCCTGCCTGCCCTGTCCCAGCTTGGAGGAGTTGGGGCGGGTGCGGAGCAGAGCGAGGATGGGCCCAGCGCCAAAGCTTTTCCCTGGCGATCAGGACGGCTGAGCAGGTTTAGGTGATGCAGTCTGGGGAGTGGCGATCGAAGAGATACGGCTGAGTAAGAGAGAAGTAAAACAGGGCTCAGCCTTGGGAAAGCAGGTTACTCGCTGCTCGCCAGCGAGCTTTGCGCTCGGCTGCTGCAGCGGCTCAGCG